ACTTAGAATAAATAAATAAAGGAAAGAAACGTAACCATTTCTAAAATACTAACTTAAAAGTATAAGGAATATGGTGATGAGGGCTACTGAAGTACTTAGGTTGTAACTCCTATAACTGACCATTAAGTGAATTTTACTGCAAGATCTAAACAGGGTTTAATGTAAAAAATGAGTTGGCCCTCTACTGCTATAAAAGGAGAGCCCATAAAAACTCACTTTAATTCTTGAACCAGCGCGTCAACAGTGTGTCAATATCTAGGTACAATGATGTATGGTTTTAGAAGTTCTTAAAAATAGAATCCACATTAATAAATTAATGAAAATACTAACTTAGTTTAAATAAAAATCCAAACTTGGAAGTTGCACATAGACTTGATGGCCACCTGAGGTCTCTTCCAGCCCTATGATTCTAACACACTATCCAAAGCGGGGCCAACCCCAACTAAATCATCCCAGCAATATCATTATCTAGTTTGACTGTCCTGTATTATTCAGGCCAATACAATCGGTAGTCAATCTCTATGAACATTTGAAAGGAAGAACCACTCCTGTCCATTAGAAGAAGCTCCCAGTTCTGCCTCCAAATTGATCTAAATTCTAAGTGTAGAGCAAGTCTTCATTTACTTGCTCTTGTGTAAGCTGACTGACTTAGAATAAATAAATAAAGGAAAGAAACGTAACCATTTCTAAAATACTAACTTAAAAGTATAAGGAATATGGTGATGAGGGCTACTGAAGTACTTAGGTTGTAACTCCTATAACTGACCATTAAGTGAATTTTACTGCAAGATCTAAACAGGGTTTAATGTAAAAAATGAGTTGGCCCTCTACTGCTATAAAAGGAGAGCCCATAAAAACTCACTTTAATTCTTGAACCAGCGCGTCAACAGTGTGTCAATATCTAGGTACAATGATGTATGGTTTTAGAAGTTCTTAAAAATAGAATCCACATTAATAAATTAATGAAAATACTAACTTAGTTTAAATAAAAATCCAAACTTGGAAGTTGCACATAGACTTGATGGCCACCTGAGGTCTCTTCCAGCCCTATGATTCTAACACACTATCCAAAGCGGGGCCAACCCCAACTAAATCATCCCAGCCAGGGCTTTGTCAAGCCGAGACTTAAAAACCTCTAGGAATGGAGATTCCACTCCCTCCCTAGGGAATCCACCCCAGTGCTTCCCTATCCTCCTAGTGAAATGGTTTTTCCTAATCTCCAACGTAGACCTCTCCTACTGTAACTTGAGACCATTGCTCCTTGTTCTGCCATCTGCCACCACAAAAACAGCCTTTCTCCAGCCTCTTTGGAACCTCTCTTCAGGAAGTTGAAGGCTGGTATCAAATCCTCCCTCACTCTTCTCTTCTGCAGACTAAATAAGCCCAAATCCTTCAGCCTCTCCTCCTAGGTCAAGTTATCCCCAGCATTCTCCAAAAACTTCCTGGATTGTCTGTGTACTGCTGTGTTGATCTCCCAGTGGGTGTCAGGGTGATTAAAGTCCCCCATGAGAACCAGAGTCTGTGATCTGAAAGCTTCTCTTAGTTGTCTGAAGAAAGCCTCATCCACCTGATCTGAGCTATAGTAGATGCCAACCACAACATCACCGCTGTTGCTCCTGCCTCTATACTTAACCCGTAGAGTCTCAGAAGACTTGTCTCACTCCATATACTGGAACTCTGAGCAATCATACTGCTCAAACTGTCATGTTTATTCTGCAGGCATAAAGTAATGTTTGAAGATAAGCGTACTAGCAAACTATTTAAAAGATAAATGTTAAGCAGCGTTAGTAACTGTTCATCAGTAACTGATGCTTTTTGGGTTTTCCTGGGGTGCCTGGGATTAATCACTACCACCTGCTTACATCTTTGTTCTGCAATCATAAGGAGAAACCTCCTCCAACTATTGGCTGTTGGTAACACAAGTACTCCATTCTAAGCTCCGTGAGCCCTGGATTTTCTCTGTAAAGCAGGGGTGGCCAACCCGTTAAACAAAGAGCCAAAACAATGGTGGAAAAAATGCGAAGAGCCACACCAGAATTGTTGGGCCGCCCCCTCCCCAAAAAGAAGCACTCCCCAGGAGCCAGAGTTGTTGAGAGGGTGGGGGAGGACACTGCCCCTTTTAAAAAACACGAGTTAAGCTTTTTGGCCACATCAGGCTCCTGTTGGCTGCCACCATTTTGCCATGCCAGCAGCTCCCCTGCACCTGGTGACATGGCGGGCTGGGGGCGGTTTGTGGGGGCTCATGGGGTGGCTTTGAGAGCAGTGGGAGAAACTTCGCAAGCTGCACTTTCAGGGATGAAGAGCCGCACATGGTTTGTGAGCCGTGGGTTGGCCACCCCTGCTGTAAGAGCTAGCTGTTTATATACCCTACTATGTTAGACGCCTAGTCCCCATATCTTCTGGACACCTGCAATCTGCTGAATCTATAGAAATAATGCAGCTGAGTTCATGGGTCTCTCCTCAGTTCAGCACTTTCCTTAGCCTACAGCACTTCAACAAATTATAGTAACCAAATTTACAGAGCATTAGATAAATATTCAAATGAAAGCAAGTATAAGAATTTGTAAACATAGGGTTACAGAGAAAAGAAAAACATAAGGAAAAAAACTAGCCTGTACTTACTAACAAGTTACTTTCTTTGAAAGTATATTAGATCTCCTCAAAGGTCAATCCCTGCTGTGCTGGTCCAGTTCAAACAGCTGTGATCTGCCTTTCATGAGACCTTCTGCTGGCAGGGTTTCTCCTTTATAATGGATACATTCTTGTGCTCTTTTTTATTCTTACAATAGCGGTCCCCTAGTCAGACTGTTTGGCCAGTTCTTTTGTTTTTGTAAATCCTTAAGTCTGCATATGGTCTGGAAAGTGAACGTAGACTATCTCCACAGATGTTCATTGTTCTTATTGTTGACAGGGTCTCTCAGGTCCCTCAATCTCGGGTAACAATATTCCGCATTTTTCACCCTTAAGTTCTATCTCTCTTGTCCTTTCATGGATCATAAATATCTGTAATATTTATGCGTTTGACCTCTGTCCATAACCTCACGACTATTCATAAAGTTTATATTGCATAAAATACTTATCTGCCATACTAATGGCAGCAATCAGAAAGCAACAAAATATTTTACCAAGAATACTGTTAAGGGAAAAGATAGCAGTATCCCCCACGCATTTTTTGCAAATACAAAGTAGAACAAAAAACTTACTTTGCAGTGATGGCTCCTGTCCAATGTGTCTGGCCCTGCTTTCCGCTCTGGATGTTGTGACTTGGCTCCTGAGGGTGCCTGAGCAGCTAGCGCTGAAAATGTATGTCCTAAATAACATCAACAGAGCAGGGAGCCAGCCTGTGGGACTGTAGTGCTACTTCAGCATGAGTGCAGAAGTAACTCGTTTTGCAACTCCCACCATCTGGGGAACAGAACCTGCCCTCCTTCCGTATGGATAAAATGAAATAACAAAAATTCCTAAGAAAACACAAAATTGTAAAGAATAAAAATGATTTCACTAAACTCTAGATGAGGGCTACTCAACTTTGAAAGCCCTGGGAGCCACAATAATACAGCACATGCTGAGGGCCGCAACTTAAGTGTGATTGCATATACATGCAAATATATATGCAGATAACTTTTCACGCCTGTGGGCATGAGTGCAAAGCACTTTCCACAATGCCCTGGTGCTCCCAGCACCTCCTCCCTGGGGTCTAGAAATGCTGACACCCTGTTCTAGCCAGTTCAGCCGCTTGTGTCATTCAATGCTCACCCACCTGGGAGACCCTCACCATTGTGGAGTGTGTTCCCAGTGGAGGCCATGTTCAAAGGAGAGCGCAACCTCATGGATTAAAAAATGACTACACTGCCCATGTCACAGTGTTGTGGCAGCAGTACTGTAACTGGGGCAGTGTAAACCTATCCTTGTACTCCAGGGATGGCCGAAATAGTGGTGGATACAGCGCAAAGAACTGAGTGGGGGGAAAAAAGTTGAGGTGGGGAGGGGGAAAGCCCTGGCCGCCACATTTGGTCAAGCAAAAAAAAAAAACCACAGT